TGAAGCGGGTCCGTGTGCATGGCGCTGCCGCTGCGCGCCGCGCCGATCAGCACCCAGCGGTGCGGCGGCCTCTCTGACTCCAGGACACTCATGAGGTCCTCGTCGAAGCACGCGGGCCGGCTATACGCGGCAGCCGGTGGCCAGTCCTTCTGTGGCAACTCACGGGGGCCTCCCGTGGCATCTTGCTGGCTCTTGCGGACCGACGCCAACCAGCCCCAATCGACGCCGCTTGACGCTCAAGCGACCCATCGAGTACCACACGCGCCAGCGCACGCGAACGCACCCACTGGAGAGAGACGGAGCTCCGAGCACATGCAAGGGCCCCCGGCGAGTTGCTGCGGAAGCGTCCCGCTCGCGCTCCAGGCAGGCGTCGTCGAAGATGTAGAGGGGGCAGTCGTCGCGCTGGCGCTGCGCGTACTCGCAGTAGTCCTCGGGGAGGAGGCGGAGGAGGCAGAGGAGGAGGAGGAGGAGGAGGAGGAGGCGGAGGAGGAGGCGGAGGAGGAGGCGGAGGAGGAGGCGGGGGAGGAAGAAGCAGAGGAAGAGGAGGAGGAGGAGGAGGAGGAGGAGGAGGAGGAGGAGGAGGAGGAGGAGGAGGAGGAGGAGGAGAGGAGGAGGACTAAGAGGAGGAGGAGGAGGAGGAGGAGGAGGAGGAGGCGGAGGAGGAGGAGGTAATGAGGGCGAGGGGCGAAGGCCCCTCGTGGACGGCGGGCGGCCTCCTGTGAGGGGCCCGGGGGCCTCTGATGAGGCTGCTTCGGAGGCAGGGGCGCGATAAAGCGTGTGCACTTATATATATATATATATATATATATATATATTATATATATGTAATGTATATAGAGAGAGAGAGAAGTACCGATAACTATATACATATATATATGTATATATATTCAAATAAGAGACACTAGCAGACATATGCTATTTTTGCGTAATTATGCCATTGAAATGGTTGTGCCACTGGCATAGTTGCGTTCGGGACGTGCCGTATAATATATATATAATATATATATATATATATTAGTATGAGCCAAAGTGTTGCCGAGCATCTTTGCCACTGCAGCTCGTGATTGCTCTGAGAAGCCACCTGAGCGGGGGAAATAAAGGGCTCCCGTGCACGATGGCATGCAGTCAACCCGCAGATCAAGGGCGCAGGAGAGGGATGCAAGGGCCTCGGAAGGCCATGTCGACACTCTGCGAGCAGGGCGCGGCCAGCGAAAGCGGCCGAGGATGGGCCGAAGGGGAAGGATGCAAGGGTAGCCTTGGAAAGCCGCTCATCCTGACTATGCGGATTGGCTGTAGCGACCCTACACGGTGGCTTACACGGGCCGCCTGCGCGGCGCGCTACATTGGAAACGAGGGCGCTCACGCGCGACCTTGCCCAGGCAGCTTACGCGCCAATCTCGGTGAAGATGACCCCGTTGTCCTGCGTCGCTCACCTGCCTTGTGAGAAGGCCGCCCCCCTCGCTGAGTAGAGACGTTAAGGCGGGACTGGCTCATAGGGGAAAACATCGACCTGGAATCGGCGATACATCGCCAGACCCTTCCCGGCGTCTGCCAAGGCCAAACTCCCGAGACGCATCCGGCCAGGGCTGCGAGAACTCTCAGAAACGCACCAAAAAAAGACTTTCAAAACTACACCGTCGCCGGGGCCGGCGACGACGACGAAGACGACGACGACGACGACGACGACGACGACGACGACGACGACGACGACGACGACGACGATAGCGACGACGACGACGACAACGACGACGACGACGACGACGATAGCGACGACGACGGACGACGACGACGACGACGACGACGACGACGACGACGACGACGACGACGACGACGACGACGATAGCGACGACGACGACGACGACGACGACGACGACGACGACGACGATAGCGACGACGACGACGACGACCCTCTGCGCGCCGACGCAACAGCTCAGGGACGGGCCGCCGTGGGTCGGCGTTGGCCCCGGGGGCGGCGGAGGAGGGGGGGGGCGGGGGCCGCTCCACGGAAGGGCTGAACCTAAATGGTGGTTTTCGTTTTCGTTTTGTTTTCGTTCTCCCTCGCTTTTGCCTCGAGTCCGCCTTCACCGCAGAACGGAGTCGAAACGAAAACGGTCCACGAAATCACCAAAAACCCCGTTTGGGTCCAGCCCTGCTCCACGGGAGGAGGAGGGGAGGGGGAGGGGGCCGCTCCACGCGACTCCCAGACCTGGGCCAAGCGAAGGAGCCAGCCAGCGTGCAGGATCGACCTCGTGCTGCGACTGGACAGGACGGACTTGCACCGATCTCGGCGCAAGTCGCCGTTGTGAACGGATGTCTCTTGCCGCTGCGAATCCGCTGGTATGCTTCTCAAGAGCTCTGTGGCTGCCCTGCGTCTCAAGATCAAGCTGAAAAGAGTTCCACGTGCAGGGATCGGAGGGGACTGGCCGACACCCCCAGAAAGACATGGCTGACCTCCGACCCACTCTGCGCCCCGAGTCCCGCAGAGTCATGGTCACTGGCACGTCCCGCTCGGAGTAATGACTACTGGGGGCAGGCTCCGACACGTCTCCGCGCCCGCTGCCGGCAGGGTCCGCGTCCGTCGCGGTGGCGGCGCCGACCGCGAAGCCGGTGCCGGGGCTGTCCTCCGCGGGCCGCCGAGGGCCGCCGAGGGCCGCGCGGGGGCCGCCGAGGGCCCCCCGAGGGCTGCCGAGGGCCGCCGGAGGCGCGCCCTCCTGGGGCCCCATGTTCATGGGGAGAAGCGCGGCCAGTGTCACATGCCTGCAGTCAAATGTGCACTGATCGACATCGAGAGGCCTCACCCCAAGAGGCGACCCTGCCCAGCACGCCTCCTCCAACCGCCAGCTTGAGACGGCCCGAGGCTCCCATGACGGACACATAGGATACGCACTTGTAGCACAAACGTTCATGACAACTGCAGAGGCCAAGAATATCATGGTCGTGCGATCCGCGGAGGGTTACCGCGTTCACTCGCTCCAGCTCCCTGGCCGCCAGGCCCGAGATCCCCCACAGTCTCCCCTGACACTGTCATTGGCAACGTCAATCGACAAAATCCATGTCGGCTTGGCGCGACTGGGCACATTGCTCAGCAGCTGCCCCAGGCAATGTTGGATACCCCCTTCCCTACGTCTCCCAGGTAAGAGGCGCAAAGAGAAGACGTAGGCAAGCCTGTCCCTGCATGGCCCTTGGCTGCTGCGCGAAGCGCTACCAGAACTGCCACATGCCAGGATTGCACCCGTCCGGCCGCAGTTCCCACCAGGGCTCCACATGGAGTCCTCCCGATGCTGGGGGCCCTCAGAGGGCCGTCCTCCTCCAAAGCTCCCACCGCCCCAGGATCGGAGGCTCGCCCTCCCAACTCTGCTGCTCCCCCACGGGGAGGCCTCGGCCCAGGGATCCGAACGGCAGGCAGGAGCAACTTCTCCTCGTAGCAGCCAGCCTCTCGGGGGTCCTTCCTGTCCCCTCCATGTTTCCTTTGCCTCACGAGTCTGATCCAGAGAGAGGCGAGCACAACTTTGCCCCAGGGACTCCAGGCACCGACCACTTATATGACTCGAGTGTGTCGGACAAGCCTCAAGCTGGCGTGGAAGCCAGTCACACAGCACTGACAAACAGATCCGAACGCCAAACGCTGGGGGAGTCCTGTCATTCGGGGGAAACGAAAAGATACTGACAACGCTACTCCCTGGATCTCTGCGAGGATACGTTCTGACCAGATGTTCGAAGAGAATCCACCCGTGGCGACCAGGGCTTTCCCGGACGAAATCCGCCGACCCTGTCGGCGTGTGGAAGAGGCTTCGTTGTTTGCTGCTTCTTCCTCGTCGTTCCTTTGTCCCGTTTCCCTGCAGCGTCGTCGTTTTTTGCCCTTTCCTTTTCCTCGTCGTCTCTGAATCAAAAGGGAAGCCCCTTCCCTTTCTTCCCTTCCCCGCGCGAGGAAGGGGGGGCGTCCCGTTCCTTTTCCTCGTCGTCTCTGAATCAAAGGGAAGCCCCTTCCCTTTCTTCCCTTCCCCGCGCGGGGGGGGGGGTCCGGGGGGGGGTAGCGAGGGGGGGTAGCGAGGGGGGGTAGCGAGGAGGGGTAGCGAGGGGGGTCCTGGGTCAGATACGCCGCCCTCCTGGGGATCCTCGGTCAGAGGGAACCCCCTTCCCTTTCTTCCCTTCCCCGCGCGGGGGGGGTGGGGGGGTCCCGGAAGGGGTAGCGAGGGGGGGTAGCGAGGGGGGTTAGCGAGGGTGGTCCTGGGTCAGATACGCCGCCCTCCTGGGGATTCTCGGTCAGATACATCGCCATCCCGGACTCGCAATGTCGCCTCTGAATCAAAGGGAAGCCCCTTCCCTTTCTTCCCTTCCCCGCGCGAGGGGGGGGGGGTCCCGGGAGGGGGTAGCGAGGCGGGGTAGCGAGGGGGGTAGCGAAGGGGGTCCTGGGTCAGATACGCCGCCCTCATGGGAGTTTTCGGTCAGATACATCGCCCTCCCGGGGAAAGATATCGGGCGACGGCCAAGGTCCATTACGCCGCCCTCCCTACATGTTGCTCCATTATTCCTCCGCATCTTCATGCTCCTCTTGCTCCTCCTCCCACCTGTTCCTCCTCCTTCACTCCTCCGTCTCCTCCTCCTCCCCGCCCTCTCCCCCCCGTTTCCCTCGAGAGCCGATGCCTCCAGGGTCGGCGGCACAGGCCGTAAGGCCAGCGCAATCTCAGTATAGTTTCCCCCCCTGGTCCCAAATACTTCGGACTCACGTCTGCCTTCAGTCCCCTGCATCGGAGAGAAGCTCGCACCACAGTCGTAACAAGCTGCACCCGAGACCGTAAATGGCATGCGCGGGGGGAGGGGGGGGGCAGAGGGCGGTCGCGGCAGTCCTGTCTCCTCGGCAAGGCCTGCCAAACCCTCTCCCCCTTCTCCGCTCACTTTTACGCAAGGCGTCTGGACGTCTGAGCCGCTTCGCCTTCCGGGCAGCCTTCACCAGCTTGATGAGATCGCTTGACATCGGCCCGGCTGCCTCGGCTGCATCCACGAGACTCTCCGGCAACTCGGATACCCATGGCGGCAGAAGGCAATCTCGCAGCATGGCGAGATCTTTCCGCAAGCGCGCGCTCCAAGAGCACCCCTGACCGAGGTAGAGGTCGTCCAGGAGCCAGAGCAACTGCCCGGAGCATGCACTCGAGCAGGCTGGGAGGATCTCCGCCTCGCGTACGAGAGCAGGGTTTCTGCCAGGGCCTTCCCCTCTCCCTGGAGAGCGGCGTCAACCGAGGCGTTGCCCGGATCAGCAGGGGTCCCTGGCAACTGCGCACAGGGTGGACGAGGCCCAGGCTTTGGCTCACAGCCCCAGCCACGCCTCGCCCTTGTGCAGCAGCCGTGGCCACTCCTCCTCATCGTCCTCGTCATCCTCCTTCTTCTCCGTCTCCTCCTCCTCATCATCATCATCATCATCCTCCTCCTTCTCCTCCTCCCCGCCCCCATTGCTTCTCCAGGGAGGGAGGGTGGGAGGTAAGGAGAGGAGGGAGGGGAGGGGGGAGGAGAGGACGGAGGAGGGAGGGAGGAGGGAGGGAGGAGGGAGGGAGAGAGGAGGGAGGAGAGGGAGGAGAGGGAGGAGAGGGAGGAGAGGGAGGATGGGGGGAGGGAGGGATGGAGGGAGGGCGGAAGGGAAGGAGGGAGGGAGGGCTGGCTTTGACAGCTCCAGGGTGATAGGGTGATCGGTCCGATCCTGGAGCAGCTGGTCGAGAGCCCACTTCTCTGGGCAGGGCCACGCTTCCTGGAGCGGCAGTGGCAGGAGACGACAGGAGAAGGTCAGGAGGCGACGACGACGACGACGACGACGACGACGACGCCAAAGAGAGGGAAGGGGAGGGATGATACTGGGGAGGACAGGCAGGAGTGACTGGCACAGGAGAAGAAGAAGAGGACAAGGAGGGGGAGGCGCAGGAGGAGGAGGAGGAGGAGGAGGATGAGGAGGAGGAGGGGGAGGAAGGAGAGAGGAGGAGGAGTAGGAGGAGGAGGAGGAGGAGAAGGGGGAGGAGGAGGAGGAGGAGGAGGAGGAGGAGGAGGAGAAGGGGGAGGAGGAGGAGGGGGAGAAGGGAGAGAGGAGAGAGGATATACCTATACGACCACCCTTCGGGTGATAAGGAGGTTCGGGGGGGGGAGGAACCAACGTCTCACTCGATCGGTCTCACTATCGATCTCACTATCGATCTCAGTATCGGTCTCGCTCGATCGATCTCCCTCGATCGATCTCACAATCGATCTCACTCGATCTATATCACAATTGATCTGACTATCGATCTCACAATCGATCTCACAATCGATCTCACAATCGATATCACATTCGGTCTCACTATCGATCTCACTATCGATATCACAGCCGCTCTCACAATCAACGTCATCATCATCATCATCAACAACAACATCAACATCAACATCATCATCACCAATATCATCATAATCGGGACACCGTCCTCATCATGAACACCAACATCATCATCACGGTCATCAACATCATCGGGACACCACCATCATCATCATCATCATCACCATCATCACAATCATCGTCATCAGCATCATCATCATCAGCAACATCGGGACACAGTCATCGTCATCATCATCAGCAGCAGCATCATCATCATCGGGACACCATCATGATCACCATCGTTATCATCAGCTTCATCAGCATCAGCATCAGCATCAGCATCAGCATCATCATCATCATCATCATCATCATCATCATCATCATCATCATCATCATCATCGGGACAACATCATCATCTCATCCTCATCATCGACATCATCATCAGCATCATCAACATCATCATCAGCATCATCATCATCGTCATCATCCGGGCACCATCATCATCATTACCAACATCAGCATTAACATCATCATCGTCATCATCTTCATAAGTAGCATCATCATCACCATCGGGACGCCATCATCATCAACATCATCATCATCACCATCACAATAATCATCCTCATCGGGACGCCATAATCATCATCAACCTCATCAGCATCAACATCATCATCATCGGGACACAATCATAATCAGCATCATCAACATCAACATCATCATACTCATCATCATCGGGACACCATCATCGTCATCATCATGATCATCAACATGATCATCATGATCATCATCATCCTCATCATCGGGACACCATCAGCATCATCATCATCGTCATCATCATCATCATCATCATCGGGACATCATCATCATCATCATCATCATCATCATCATCATCATCATCATCATCATCATCGTCATCATCATCAGCAGCATCATCATCATCAGCATCATCATCATCATCATCATCATCATCATCATCATCATCATCATCATCATCATCATCATCATCAATCATCATCATCATCATCATCATCATCATCATCATCATCATCATCATCATCGCGGGACACCGCGGGGCACACCGCGGGGCACACCGCGGGACACCGCGGGACACCGGCGGGACACCGCGGGCCACCGGCCGCCCGGAAGGGAATCATTTGGTCCGGCCGCGCCTCAGCCACACGGGACTTTCGCGGGACACCGGCGGGACACCGCGGGCCACCAGCCGCCCGGAAGGGAGTCATTTGGTCCGGCCGCGCCTCAGCCACAAGACACTTTTTCTCGCCCGCCCACGCAGCTTCGCCTCGCCCGCCCGCACGGCACGCACGAACACGAAACCGAAATCGATTTCCCGGTGGGGGGGCTCTCCGTTCCACTTCGATCTCACCCCCTCACCTCCGAACTAAGTATAACTAAGTGCGCTCGCGCCACCTGTCACATCCTACCTCTCTCCCATCCATACCTGCCCTTTGAGTTGATTGCCTATGTATCCGCCAACGGGTGTCACAGCGGACCTGGAGCCTGGAGCCCCCCAAAAATAACCCCATCGTGCTGTGCGCACTATCTCCCAATCAGAGCTTGCCTCTGTAGGGGTCCTAGCGAATTCATATAGTTCGGTGAGGTGCGTCGCCGATTTCGGTGGCCGGCCGAGGTGCCTGGAGGTGCCCCGTGGTGCCCGGAGGTGCCGGGGTTGCCCGGAGGTGCCCAGGGTTGCCTGGAGGTGCCCGGGGTTGCCCGGGTGCCCGAGTGCCTGGGTGCTCTACCGCCCTGTAGCCATGTAGCCCTATAGCCCCATAGCTATACAGGCCTATAGCCCAATAGTCCCAGAGCCCTATAGCCTTATAGCCCTATAGCCCTGTAGCCCTATAGCCCAACAGCCCTATAGCCCTATAGCCCTGTAGCCCTGTAGCCCTATAGCCCTATAGCCCTATAGCCCTATAGCTCTATAGCCCTATAGCCCAATAGCCCAATAGCCCTGCAGCCATACAGCCCCATAGCCCCATAGCCCTATAGCCCTATAGCCATATAGCCCTATAGCCCTAGCCCTATTAGCCCTCATAGCCCTCGCAGACTTCATAAACCTAAGGAGCCATTACAAAGGGATCCCATGTAAGATCAAGAAAGACTCTGATTGGGGTTGTGAACATTGGTCTGTGAACATTGGGCGAGATGGCGGATGAGCAGGAGGATGAGCAGGAGGAGGAAGGGGCAGAACGAGGAGGAGCTGCAGTAGGAGGAGCGCGAGGAGCGGGAGGAGCGGGAGGAACAGTGAAAGACGGGCGAGGGGAAAGGAAGGGGGCGGCAACGACGACACTCAGATCCAGAAATGTGGCGCGCGCTGCGGCGAGAGCGCCAATCATTCTGAACGGCGGAAGGAAGCACCCACCCTGAAATGAGGCCAATGCTGCATCGGGGACACCATTGTGAAACCACGGGAAAGCTCCGATTACAAAAGAGCATGTGAAAGACCAAGTGTTGAAATCATGTGCGTAAACACAATACGCGAAGAGGGTGGGACAATTCCAGGACGCTGTCGGGGGTGAGAGGGGGGTAGTACTCATACTGAGTACGTACTCGTATTTGAAGGGGCACAGGGACACACAAATAGATCGGCACAAATCCCAAAATTCCAAAGATTTCCGATCTGTCCTAGATGTTCGTCTTCCCCTCCACTTCCAATATTTCCAGATGTTTCCCGGAATCGACGATTTGTTGTGTCTGTGTGTTCTCCCCTACTGAATATTGACATATTCGGGAGGAGGAGGAGGAGGAGGAGGAACCGCAGCAGCAGCAGCACGACGACGATGTCCATCGCGCCCTCCAAGATGGCTGGCCTGCCAGGGTCCAGCCGCCCGCCGCCGCCGTGCGCGGGCAGCCGCGGGGGGCAGCCCGAGACCTGGCGGAGCCCTCCTCGTCGTCGCCCTCGTCTTCCCCAACGAGGGGCAAGAGAAGGGGGCAGGAGGGAGGAGGAAATGAATCGTTGGGCCGAGGCCCGCGTAAAAGTTGCAAGAGTGACCTTGGCGATAAAACTTGACGGGAACTGGAATAGCTCTCACCTAGCAAACAGCGCACCTCCGCTAAGCATCACTACTTGTACGATTGCCCCTTCCGCAAGGACACGAGGAGGGAGGAGGGAGCGGAGGAGGGAGGAGGAAGAGAAGTCTGCAGCGAGTCCCAGAGTACCACCGACCTACCCCACCTGCTCTGCGTACTGACCCCACTCAAGCCAGAGGAGGAAGCCAGGCAACAGAGGCACGCGTGCAGGGAGGGATGCTGACATTCCTGCTGCTACTACAGCTGTACTGTTGGCCGCTGCTGCTAGGTTTGATACTACTACTACTACTACTACCACCACCACCACCACCACCACCACCACCACCACCACCACTACTACTACTACTACTACTACTACTACTACTACTTCTTCTACTACTTCTACTACTACTTCTACTACTACTACTACGACTACTACTACTACTACTACTACTACTGCTGCTGCTACTACTACTACTACTACTACTACTACTACTACTACTACTACTACTTTAACTACTACGACTACTACTACTACTACTACTACTACTACTTCTACTTCTACTACTACTACTACTACTACTACTACTACTACTACTACTACTGCTACTACTACGAATACCACCACTACTACTACTA